GCTGCGCCGGGTGCTGGGGGAGCGGCAGCGGGCTGGCATCCTGCCCCCGCCATTATCTGCATTCCTCAGTGATCCAACGTGGGGCTGGGTGCGGCCACGGGCACGGGGAGGGGGCTGGCAGCGCCGTGGGGCAGGACACGGCCTCCTGCCCACGTCCCAGCCCCATCGGCTTCACACCGGAGCCACCTGCCATGGCCACCGGCTGCCCACGGAGGGGAGCAGCCCCACGGATCCCCCCAAGGAAGAAGCTCTTGGGAAGGGCCAGCCCTGGCAGCGAAGCCAGGGAAAGCGCTGGCAAAGCCGGGAATGCTTCAGCAGGCAGAGAGCAGGCAGAGCAGGCAGCGCGGCTCACGCAGCCCACGCAGTCCCCGGCAGGGACTGGGGGGACCAGGGTGAGACCCCCGCCCCGGCTCAGCCATCCCAGCCACAGCGACCAGAGAGAGGAGGCGGCGCTGCGACGCGTGGACTCGAGTGAACTGGAGGAATCCAAACAATATCCCCTTTCTTCAGCGTTCCCGCGGTGGAGGGAAGGAGCAGAGCAACCCTGATTAGAAACAGCGCCGAGGCGAACGCCCCCGGGGAGCTGAACCGGGGCCCCGGCGTTTGTGTTGGTGGGGGCGGCCATCGCTCAGCCCGCCACGGTTCACCAAGAGGGGACCGGAGCAATGTGGGGTTCAGCTCTTCCCAACCCGACTACCAGCCACGAGCACTTCAGTCACCCCACGGAGCCATTTCTAAATGACTCTTCAACTCTCGCCTCAAGCCCAGGCTCCTCGGCCACGATGGAAATACCAAGGGCTGCAGCTCTGTTTCATCAACCACGTTATTTGGCCTCCGCAAAAGCCTGGGTCTGGCCAGGTTTCCAGCAGAGCTCAGCAATTCAGGACACTGGGATGGTGTGGCACTGGATATCAAGACAGGCCCCCTGGAGATATCTCAAGAGTCAGACACCCAAATTGCTCGTCTCTCTGGAAATTTCTGGCCTTCGTATCCAACTCGCCTGTTAAGATGGAAATTAGTTGAGCAGGCAAAATAAAATTGCACGTGCCCAGCCCCGCGATGGCCCCCAGGAAAAGCCAAGAGCCGTTTTCTGTGACAGTCCCCTCTCCTCCAGCATCCGCCCGCTCCTTACCTGGTGAATCGGACTTTGCAGATGTTGCACTCGTAGGGCTTCTCCCCGGTGTGGGTGCGGATGTGGCGCGGCAGCTTGCCAGCCCCCTGGATCACCTTCTCGCAGATGGGGCACTTTTGGAATGCTTTTGCCCTGATCTTCTTCTCCACCTTCTGGGACCAGGACGGATAGACGTCGCCCTCGTTCGAACTGCCGAAATATTTCAAGTAATAATCCATGACCCCATCGTCATCCTTTCGGTCGTCCTCCCCGAGCTGCTGTCTCCCCACGGAATTCATCATTTGCTGCAGCAGGGCGCTGGCAGCCAAGCCATCCACCTCCCTCGCATCATCCTCCGTCTCTGCTCCAGCAGGAATGAAGCTGGGGGAGTCACCGGCTTCCTGCTGGTCCAGAGGCCCCCCCGGGGTCCCCTCCTCTTCTCCCGGCGTGGGCAGGCCACGGCTGCTGTAATGTCCGTTCTGAGAAGGTGAAAACAAGGAGCCAGGAGCCGCCTCCTCCTCCTCTCTGTCCAGCCACATGGCTGGGTTGCTGTCAGGATCACAGTCATTCGCCTTTGGTCTTTCGTTTAGGGGGGCTTGCGAGTAGAAGTCCATGCCATTGCAGTCCGGCTCCTCCTCCTCCTCTTGGCCTCGGAAGTTCAGTCTCTGAAGGTCTCTCAACTCTGGGTTGGTCCACGGAAAGCTGCCTTGGTGGCCATTGACGGGGTTGCTCTGGAAGAACTCCAGGTACTCTTTTGCTCTGAGATGGTTCCTTTGATCAATTTGATCTACTGTATCCATCTGGTCATTTTTGGCCAGAATCTTCCTGTCCAGGAGATCCGTGCAAACATCCCTTACCGCCGGGATCTCCAGCAGTGTGGCGGCGTTGAGGATGTCGTTGACGTTTGAAGTGCTGACAGTAAGGGTCGCGGTGTAAGCGAATTCCAGCAGAGCCGACAAGGCGTCCGCACTCACAAAGTCTATCTCATACACGTTTTGCTGGTCCACCACTAACCCTGAGGTGAAGAGCTTCTTGAAGTACTGGCTGCAGGCCGCCAGGACGGAGCGGTGGGTGGGGAACTCCTGGCCTTCCACCAAGATGACCACGTCGCACAACAGCCCGTTGTTTCTCTGCTCATTCAGACTGCTGAGGATGTCGCTGCTGTGATCGGGGAACGGGATCCCTATGGGGCCGTCCACGCCACCCGCCATCTTCGATGCAAAAGGCTACGAGAGAAGAAGCAAAGCGCAGTGAGCCACAGGGGGTTTTGGCTGCTCAGAGGCATCGCACGGGCAAACTCCCCAGCGCCAAGCGGGTACGCGTCCGCCGATGCCAGCGTGCTCTGTGGCGAGCAGTAGCTACGGGTGTCTGTGCCCTCTGCACCTCTCCACATCGCCGGCGAGCCCACCGTGCTGCCTGGCCTCTGAGACGCCTCTGTCAGAGGCGAGGACAGACCCCTGCTTACCTCCGCTCCGGCGGGGAGGAATGCAGCCCAGGTGCTCTCAAGCTCGAGTCGGGAAGAACAGCTGAATTAGCACGGATCCAGGCCAGAGCTAGCAAGCCTTGGCAAGGACCAGGGTTAATACAGCCAGACAGCATCTGGACCGAGCTGGCAGGCGTGCCCAGTGTTGGGCTACCGTGGCCTGAGCCTCACCAGTGGACCCCAGTCTGCTTCTGGGATTATTTTCCAATCCCATCACTTCTACTGGAAAGGTCCCCTGCTCATTCAGCCTCGCTCTGCCCAGCTGAACTCCCGATACGACCGTAGAATCACTGGCAAAACTGTTCCCACCACTCGTCCCCAGGGTCTGCAGATGCTCTCAGAGATACAGGCAGGGTGCTGGCAACGAGCACCCTTTGAAAGGGCACAGCAGCAAGCTCAGCGCTCGGGAGCACTGGTGTCAGGAACAGGGGAGCCCCAACCACCCCAGCTTGGGTTTTACCAAGAGCCGAGCTTAAACACTTAAATCCAAGGCACCCACTGCACCTTCCCCGGGAACAGGAGCCTCTGCGGCGGCCGGAGGGGAAAGGAGACTGGATCACAAAGCGCCGGCAGCAGACCTGGCACCAGCCCACCCCCGTCTCGGAAAGGCTTCAGCAGAAGCAGCAGTTCTTTCCAATGCCAAGGGTTTGTTTGGGAAAAGATAAATAAATAAGTCACTCCTGATGCGCTAGCACGGCAGAAACGGATCCACTTGACTTTAAATACATCCTCTCTTCAAAGGCTGAAAGAGCCAGAGCGAACTGAGCAGCTTCGCTCCAAAAGGGATCTCCCTTCCCGGGACCAAACGCGGGCAAGAGTGAAACCTGCCCGGAGCTCAACAAGCCCCTTCATTCTCCCACGTCCAGCCTTCTGAACCCCAAAACCTGGAATAAGGTTTTCCTCCTCTCTGTCTTGAGCAGCAAACCCCTCTACTCCTTGTTGCAGAGATGCTGTCTGCCTATAAATCAACATATTTCCCCCTCCCTGCCCCAAACACTGAACCCTCGGGGCCAAGGCAGCTCGCACTATATCCACACACAAATAATTTGGTTCACAGAACACCTTGGCACGTGCCGAAGTATTAAAGTCCCCAGTTCAGCGATGGGGAAACTGAGACCCAGCGGGAAGTGACCTGCCCCACGTGACGGGGGGGAGATGGGTGAGTCAGGAGCACATCCAGAGCAGAAGTAATTAATTATACAGGAAACAACTCCCAGCACCGCGTTATAGCGCGGGGAGCTAGCAACCAGGTTGCAAAACAACACTCGTTTCCCGACACACATACACACCCCCATTCCAGGCTTGCTAGCAGATTTCTCAGTAGTTCTTATTTTCGTATTTTTAAAAAGTTTCATTAATCCAAGGAGAAAAAAAAAAAAGAGGAATTTCTAATTTCTCCACCTTCTAGTTTTACACAAAATGCAGAAGGGGGTTCTTGAGCCAGTGAAACACCAACCTGAAGCAAAGCCCTCGATATTAAACAACTGTAATACCTAAATCAGCATTAAGCTCATCACGCCAACGTGCCGGGGGGGTCAGGGTGGGAGGGAAGAACCAGAAGAGCCGGGTTGGATGTGCAGGGCTGTCGGTGCCAAGGCCTGCCACCAAGACCAAGCACTGAAGCGAAGCGGCTTCCCGAGACGCCCAGAGCAAGGGCACCAACCCCAGAGCCCCTCCTGGGCTCCTGCAGCAGCAGGATTTGAACTCGAAGTGTTATATCACAGATTTATTTGGAAATAAGGGGTCATCGCTCGGGAGGAAAAGGCTGTTTGATGGCGGCAGCACCGCTCCGAACTCAGGCACCAGTTCCAGGTGTGACCTTGGGCAATGTCACCACAGCTCTGTATCCACAGAGGGTCCCCGGGACCACCACCTCCCCCCTGCCCAGCCTCCCGAATGCCTGGGCTACAAGTGGAGAGGCCTCTGCTGCCCCAGCATCGCTGGCCACGTTCCCACCAGGGCAGCCCCAGAGCTCAACCCCCTGACCTGAGTCACCACAGCGCATCGCTCCCCACAACAGCTGTCTCTTATA